CCGCGCGCTCCCTCCCGCTGCCGGCCTGGCCCTTCCCAGCCCCCCTACCTGAACGATGGTGTCCAGGTTTTGCCGGGACGTGGAGACTGTGTTGATGACAGAGGATGGGCCCATGGTGACCACGGTGACGTGATGGGAGGGAGGCGGCGCTGGTACGATCACAGTGGGGTGGTGGGTGGGCGCTGGGGGACCGTGTGCTGGCAGGAGCTGGGAAGAGAAGCGAAAGCCCCCCGTTAGCACGGAAAACCTCCCTCCGGCCTCCGGTAGCCAGGACCCAGCTGGCTGCACCCGATGCCCCAGCACCCCGACGCAGCTCGGCAGCAGATACCCCCGGGGGTCCCTCCACCCGACACCCCAGCTTGCAACACGGGTGGTGCAACTAAGGGAGCCGTACCCTTCTCTCCTCTCCTCCAAGAGGAGGAAAGCCAGGAAAAGCTAAGGGGCAAGAGGCCAACGCTGTACTTCCTTGCTGCAGGCACACCGGCAGGGCTCCTGCTGCCCCTCAGCCCAGCAAGGGCTCTGGGCCCTGCACTGCTGGGGGGACCGAGCACCCCCAGTCCTTCCTACGCCCATGCCGTATCCCTCCCAGGGTGCAGAGGGTCCGGCAAAGGCAGCCAAACTGGTGCTGGCTGGGGCAAACACTGATTTGTCTTCCCCATGCCAGGCCCTGCGCTGCTTGGGTATCGCTAGCGCAGCAGTTTTGCACATGCCCGGAAGCGCCAGCTCTTGGTGAGATGTCTGGCTCGGAGCGCTAGGCACAGGCAGGTAATCAAGGAAGAAAACATGACCCATAACTCAGTCCCCATGGTCACTGCAGCACTTTCACAGGACACCATGTCTCTCTGCACCCACTTTTAATGTAGGGTAACTGCCTTGAAGCGAAAAGAGAACCAGAAGAGACACAGCCCACAGGGGAGGAAAGAGGTGGGCAAGAGCCCTTGGGCCTGGGCAAGGAGATGATGGGGAAAGCACTGCACACCAAAAGCCCAGCCTTCTTCAAGGGACAATAAAATCCTGAACAACAGCTCAACCGCTCAGGTTCATGTGTCCTCCTCGACGGACGCTACACGCTCCAGCGGAGAGCTTGGTGGCCTTAGTTTTAGCAGAGCAAGAGGCAAACGGGGTTGAAAGGGCTCCAGACCTCTACCCACAAACACGCTCCAGCTTCCTCCGAGTGCAGGGACGCAGACCTGTCCAGCTGCAGCTTAACGCCTCCCCTGCACTCAGCACCGACTTTGGCCAACATACGGTTATGTTGTGCAAAACCAGGAGAAACTCTGAGTGCAAGAGAGAACTCCCAGCCCGTGTTTGGAGAGGAAAGAAATCTGGGACCAGAGGGAAGACAAGTAACTGCCCCTTCAGCCCAGACACACGCTGGATTGCCCTCCTGCCTCTCAGGATGAGTTTGAAGAATTCCCTTTATCCTGAAGGGGGAAAGACCTGGCTTTTAAGACAGCAGAGGCAAAAGCCAGATCTGAGCTGCTGCTGCGTGCTAATCCTCAAATCACTTTGAACTGCTCAGCTGGGAACCTGCCGCACCCCTAAAAGATCCTCGTTAAAATAGCGGATGCAAAGAAATGCCTTAGCAGGAGGCTAAGGAAAGTTCACCTAAAAATAGGCTGAACTTCCCTAGGAGGCGGCTGGGCACGGATCCTGCGGGGAAGCATCTCTGGAGAAGCCAAACGACAGAGGAAGTCAGTTTTTCTCGCTCCCTTTGAAGTTCCCTATGCCGGAGTCTCCCCAAGGACTGAGCCTGAGGGATGGCTCAAAGTCAGGGCTGCGACAAGCAGTGGAGGGAATCACCAGTGCAGGGACTGCGCTTTCCTCCTTTCTGCTCCAAGCAGACATAACGCTCCCCAGGGCATCAGCAATATGATTTTGTCAAGGGTAAAGACTGAAGACTCCCACACCCGCAGGCAAGCTTTGCATATGGTGGGAATCGGTTTTGGGGCCTCCAAAAATAGGCTGGAGTCACCCAATGAGACATGAGCCTTCAGAGGTAGTGTCAGACCTCTATGTCACTGCAAACCACCAGCTCTGGCATGGGAAGCGCTACCCGCATCAACTGCTCACAGAGCATTTCAACTGCTGGCATCACCCGTGGATGGGGCCGGAGACTCGTTCCGCACCTGGTCCCATGTCCAGGCCACAGAAAACATGACAGATAGGTAGGTGCCTGCTCAGGCCAGCCCGAGGCTGGGAGCCAGAGCGGGTACTACAGCTCAGCTGACAAGCAGGAGCACGGGCTCCTCCACCTGAGCCCCCGGCAGAGAGGCCAGGCGGGGAAAGCTCAGCGGAGAGGAACCCGGCTCCGGGGGGAGGCGATCGGAGGCGGCCCCCCCCAGCGCCTCCCAGCAAGGCCTTGGAAGGCCGTGGTCTCTCCAATGCCAAGTTGAATCGCTGCCAGCTAAAAAGCGATCTTCCACATACAAAAGCCGTCAGCGCTGGGGAATGGAGCCACTTGCAAGCTGCCATGAAGTGGTCCAGGCCACAATCCCCCCAACACACAGGGCGTCTGCAAACGCAACCCTCGTTGAGCTAACCAGGGGCCGCAGAGAGAGGCTGGTGGTGGAGTCCCGCAGCAGCACACACGGAGCGAGATGGGGTCCTGCCAGCAAGGACGGGGGCACCAAGCACCAACTCTGGAGCCGGTAAAGAGGGAATCGTGGCTGCGGTGGAGCACCCGCAACATAAGGCAGGGCTCTTTGGCCTGGGCACCCCCTGCCACAAAGCCAGACTCTCCCCAGCCTGCCCAGGCATTGGCGCTGCCAGGGGGACAGGGCAGCTGGCTAAACCCTGTGCCTGGCTCTGCTGCCCAGGGAGGTTTGGGATGCAAAGTCACGTGCCAACAGCCAGGGCATCCCATGGCCGCAGCCCTGCACTCCGAACGACTGATCCAAGCTCAGAGCGGCGCTGGGGCGTTAAGCCAGTTCCCAGCCATGACAAGGGCTGGTGGGCCCATTTCTCGATGGACCAGAGCAGCAGTTCAGGGTGCCAGCATCATCCGCAGAAAAGCCAGGACCTGAGCCACACTCCCCACCACCCTTCCTGCAGCGGACACCTCTGGGGCACTCCAAGGCTGGCAGCAGGACGAGGCAAGGCCAGCTACCAGCACCTTTCCCGGCGCAGATGCATGATGTGGCAGACAGCTGAGCTGGCTACAAGGAGTTCAGTGCTCCTGGATGGGGGCACATCACCAGATCTTCTCTCTGCAGCGGGCTGCAACATCAGCTCCAGCCCCAAAGGGAGCCCAGCCGGGACACAAGCACATGGGGAGGCTGCGCACCAAGTCCTTTCCCAATCCCCTGAGAAGGGGAGCTTTGCTGGGACATCCCTGTCAATCACAGCCAGCCCAAGGGACGGGAGGTGTCAAGCACCACACCGCCGAGCTGCCCCCAGCCCCGTGCATTTCACCACCACACGCCCGGCTGCACATCTATCTCTCGGAAAAGCTTGCTCAGACAGGAGGCAGCTGGGGTGTCCCCGCAGCTGGGCTACAGCCGGGACAGGCCCCGGGGCTGGGCGACGGGAGGCGTCCACGCACTCACCTGGGTTCGGATCTGCTGCTCGCGTTCTAGCTTCTCCTGGTGCAGCAACCTCACCTGTTCCTGCTGCTGCTGGAGCTGCACTTGCTGAGCAATCACCTTCAGCTTCTCGGGGTACATGTGGGCCTCCAGGGAGCGAACCTGCCGGCAGAGAGGGCCCGGAGGCGTTGGTGTCGGAGCACAGCACGCTCTCTGCACGCGCCCCACCGATCCTGCAGCAACACAGCCCCCTGCCAGCGCCAAACCCAGGGGCAGGGCACTGCTGCTCCGTCCCCGTCCTCAGAGCCACGGGGCAGACCAAGCAGAGACCCTGGGGAGAGCCCAGCGCCGAGCCCAGGCATGGGGCAACCGGCAAACCCCAAAGCAGCCTGCAGCAACCGAGAAACCACGAACTGCTCCTGAACAGAGCCCGCTCTGCCAGAACGGAGCAGCCCATCGGGACGCCGTTCGATTGGCTGGATCAAGAGAGCGGCCCAGGAGATAAAGTGAGGCTTTGCTCTGCCACTCCTTAAGGGACCCCTAAATGGTGTTCGGCAGCTCTCTGGGACCTGCAGGTCTCCTGTGTCAGACAGGAGACATCACACGAGTGGCAGGTCCTGACCTCCCAAATGCCTGTGACAGAGCCTTGGAGGTGGGTCTCAGCCCAAAACAGCCTCGGAGGCCCCAGGCTGCTGGGTTGTGGTGCTACAAAACACAAACTGGCGCCACCCGGCCCCTGGCACAGCCCTGAGCAGGGGAGCCCAGGACAGCAGAGCCCAGCCAGAGGCCTTTGGGCTCCAGCCCACTCAGAGGCGAGACTTTGGCACCCTGAGCCGAAGGAGGGTTGGCGTGAGAGCAGCACACGCAGGATGGAGGCCACAACGCAGGCATCCCGGCCTGCGCCAGGGCGGCCAGGAGCTGCCAGGCCACGCGCGCTCGGCTCCGGCGCCGCTCCAGCCCAGCCCCAGCCTCACCTGCTCCTCCAGCATCATGCGCACCGAGCGCTCCTTGTCGAGCTGCTGCCGGAGCTCGATCATCTCCCGCCGCAGATCCTCGGCCTTCTCGTCCTCCCAGATGTCCGGCGAGCCAATGCCCTCATCTTTGTCCTCCGCTCGTCGCCGTTTCGGGGAGGAGCCGCTGAACTCCTGCCGGATGGACGTGGTGTCAGGGGCCAAACCCGGTGGTATGGGGGGACAGGAGCTTTCCCTCTACTCCCGCTGCCCTGATCCCCCCATCCGGACCATGTACCGGATCACAGGCTCCTCGACGGTGGCGATGTGCCTGCGCCCCACGCCTGCCTGCCCTCCCGGGGTTCACCCTACCCAGCCTTGCGCAAACCCACTTCTTCCAGGACTGCCTGCAAGCTCACACCACGACAGAGCCCAGAGATGGGGGTCCTGCCTGGATAAACTGACCCAAATGGGAAATGGGAGCGCGAGTCCCCTTCTCCGCCTGTTGCACAGGGGATGTTAGGTTAGGCTGGGCACCTCTGGATGCCGGCAGCGTGTGAAATGCCTCCGTTCCCCTGGCAAAGGAGGAAAGACGGTCTCCTCCTGACCTCTGGCAAGAAGCAATGATGCACCGAGGCCTCCCACATTTATGGAAAGAGTCGCTGGCAGTATAGGGAACCAGCCCTTCCTCAGCCAGCCCAGCCCCACGCCAGCAGCGTTGGGCACGAAGGGAGACGCTACCTGGATGAACCGCTTGAGCTGGGTGTTCTGCTGCAGTAGCCGAGTCTTCTCCTGCTCCAGTGAGAAGATGTATTCAGCCGTTTGCTGGAGGATTGCCGCCTGCAGAAGAGCCGGGAGGGGGGCCGGTGAGGCAGGAGATTTCTCTGCAAGGTCCCTCCCCAACCCTAGGAGACCTGCTCCTGCTGAGCTCCTGCATCCTGCCCAGGAGGCAGGAGTACTGCTTCTTGCCGGCCCCAGCATCTCCAGGCTTTGCTTCACCTCCAGACCCTGTGGCTTTGCTCTCTCCTGGGCTTTTCCTCCACACGAACAGCACCAGATCCCATTCATCTTTTGCAGGAACAGTGTCTGACCTACTCCCTAGAGCTGCCTCCTCCCACCGCTCTCCTGCAGCATCAGGAAAGTCCTGCTGCAAAAGGGCCCCCTCGTTACCTGGGCAGGCATATTCCTGGCGCTGGGAGGCTCGGTTTTGTTAAAACGCTTCCTCCAAACTGTTCTTCCGCCCTAGCCTCAGGACACTGAGTTACATACGCACCCCGTATTTAATGTGCACACACCCCTACAGAGGCAATTCCCCTGAGAGGGAACTCCATCATGCCTCAGAGAAAACAGCTTTGTCCAATGCAATGAAAACACTAGTTCTAAAGTCCCCGGGCGTCAAGGAGCCTGGAAGCGACCAGCGAAATAACGTATGCAGTTATCCTCAATTACACTTACAGCCCCGTCCTGCCTGCTCAACAAGCAACTCTGAAAACCTCAACGCGCAGGACAGACATCTGTCTCGCACGTCGTCAAAGCACTGGAGCACTGATTCCCCTGCTAGGTGTCCCTCGCAGCCCCGAACAGATGCCACCTCGCACGCGGCAGCTCCCTGCTGTCACCTTGCTGAGCTTCTCCCCGTCCGTGTGTGGGATGAGCGTTTTCAGAGACTGGAAACCGGCATTGATGCTCTGCATCCGCCGCCGCTCGTTGCTGTTGGCGATCTCCCTGCGTATCCGCCGCTCCTGGTCCCGCTGGGTCTCTGGAGTCAATGGGATGTTGGCCAAGCTGCAAGAGACACCCGGAGTTAGGGAGGGACGGGGCCCGCACCCCTGCGCGCACCCAGGGGACCGTTTGCTCTCTGCTTGGAGCTCCGGCGCCGTGTCTCGGGCTCACCCCCTCCATTTCTTCCCCTGCTTTGCAAGGATGGGGCAAGCAGCCAAAGGGACTGGCAAGAAAAACCACGGGGGACGACCGCCCCAGCGCCGCCCAGGGCTCAGCCCGCACCTCGTCTCCAGGCACAGACTGAGATGCTGCTAAAAGAGCAGCGGAGAGAAGGTGGGTTTTTTCTACCCTCTCCCTAGTATCCTAACCTCAGCTGGTCCTTTTAACACCTCTGGTGGACGTGTTGACCCAAAACACAGCCCCTGCGCAGCCCACCAGCTCCGTCAGGCTTGGACAGGAGCTGGCCAACAGCAATCCAACAGTATCCGTAGGGCAGCTCCAGACAAAAGAGGAGAGGGGACTCACGGACACCACACGAGCAAAGATGCCCCGGCTGGAGTTGGACACAACCATCCATCCCCTCTGCCTACCCCGTGTCCGAGCGTCCTCTGCTACCAGCGCAAACCACCCGCAGCCCGGCAGCAAGTCGGTCCCCGCTGCCCA